TAGGCGTAGTTTTCGGGCATTGGGATCGGATACACCATCAGATTGAATCTGATAATTTTGTAGAGTGCTACTCATATCTCAACCGATAGATCAAGAATTAGGAGAAATAATACTCACTCACTTTCTCCTCCACTTCAAAATATAACCATATCTCACTACACCAGATCCTCACATCTCTGACGGGATACCTGTGACGGGCAAACGAAATGGTCACTGATGACCGTCACCTCTGACGGGTCATACGGGATGCCGTCATCGGTGAGGCATCCAGCTACGACCCGTCACAGGTAACTAGTCACCTGTGACGGGTTAAAAATAGAACCCGTCACAGGTGAGGTTACCTCACCTCAAACGGGTTTAAGTCCTAACCCGTCACAGGTGACTAGTTACCTGTGACGGGTCGCAGCCGGACAGCCCGTCAGAGGTGAGGTTTACTCACCTCAAACGGCTTTAAGTCCCAGCCCGTTTGAGATGACTTCTGCCACTGTATATATATATGTCTCCTCTCCCAGCGGGGCCCACATGAGGAGATAAGGTCGGCCGGCTCCCTCTTCTCCACTTCTCCTCTATCTCTTCCACTTCTTCTCTATCTCTCCCCTCTTTCTTTGTGCCGTGGCGAGGGGAGGCGCGGCGGCCCCGGGCCGGCTGGGGCGGCGGCGACGGCCCGGCCGCCAAATCCGGCAAGGGCGGGAGGGGAGGCGCAGCGGCGCCGAGCCAGCGGGGGCGGCGGCGGCGGCCCAGCCGCCAGATCCGGCAGGGCGGGAGGGGAAGCGTGGCGGCGCTGAGCCGGCGAGGGCGGCGGCGGCGGCGCGGCCGCCAGATCCGGCAGGGGCGGGTGGGGAGGCGCGGCGGCGGTCCGGCCGCCAGATCCGGCATGGGCGAGGGGAGGCGCGGTGGCGGACGACGGATCTGGAGCCGTGGCGCCGTGGCGGCCGACGGCGGGAGGGGAGGCGGCTGAGGCCCGACGGTGGCAGCGGTCTCCATCTCCGCCGCCTCTGCCGGCGACGCTTCCAGCCTCTGCCTCCCACCGGCTTTCAACACCCACGCCGTCGCCGCCTCCTGACCGCCGGTCGCCAGATCTGGCCACCGGGAAGCCGGATCTGGCCACCGGCGCCTTTCCTCGCCTCCCGGCCGCCGATGCCGCCAAGTTTGGCCTCCGGGAAGCCGGATTCTGCCGCCGGCGCCTTCCCTCGCCTCCCGGCCGCCGACGCCACAGCGGATCCAGCCACCGACACCTTCGCCACCTCCACAACCTCTTCCCCGACTGCCGGACGCCGCCTCCTCCGCCGCCGACCGATGACCGCCATATCCGGCCTCCACGAGGTCGGGGGACGCGGATCCAGCGTCCGCGGCCTTTCCCCTCCGCCACCGACCGCCGGCCGCCGGATTTGTTTGTGCTTGATGTTGTTTGTGCTTGATTTGCTCATGTTTGTTGCTTGTGTGGATGTGTAGTTTGTTAAAATGGACATGGATACTTGTGTGATGTATATTGTCAGATTGCTTCATGTGTAGTTGTTTGTTGAGATGTATTTGATTTAAAATACAAAGTTGTTGTATCATGTGCATCTTGAGATGTATTTGATTTTTCTTCATTTCGTACATTTGGGCTGAGGCATTTCTTTTTTTTCTGGGTGATTTTTGACGTCTGTGACGGGTGAGAACTAAAACCAGTCACAGCTGTTTTGTCACCTTTGACGGGTTGCAAAGAGTCACCCGTCACAGGTGTGAGTCACCTGTGACGGCTATATTTTTTAGCCCGTCAAAGGTTTTAATTACCAGTGACGGGCTTTCACCCGTCAAAGGTGAGGTGTAGTCATCAGTGACCACTTGTCTCTGACCAGAACCAAATCCGTCAAAGGTGAGGGTTAGAGTCCGTCACAGATGACTGGATCCGGCCTAGTGTCTAACATTTAAATTTTATTCTAAAATATCTAATTTATTTCACCATTACTCCTATCTCAATCAATCACAACCAACTTTCATTTAATTTCTCAACTTCATCTCAAATTGAGATTCAGCGCGGTTGCACAAAAGCAACTGCATGCAATTACAACCATTCAAGACCTAACACAGACGCAAACAATTGCTACAACAGGATATTCACAATGGCACTCTTTGCTACTATTGACCATATGTGTTGCTACTATGACTGCAGTCATAATAGGGATGGCAAACGGGCGCGACGGGCACGGGTAGTGCCTACCTATACCCGTGCGGCCGTGCCCGTGATATTATTTGTACCCGTGGGTATGCCCGTTACTACATGACGGGCAATGATTGTTGCCCATGCCTATCGTCCGCGTGCGCCTTGTGCCCGCGGGCGTGCCCGTTTACGGGCAATGATTGTTGCCCATGCCCATCGCCCGCGTGCGCCTTGTGCCTGCGGGCGTGCCCGTTTACCCGCCACAAAAAAAGCAGTGGAAAAAAAGTCTACAAGCTTCTAAGTTCAAATTTGTCGGTGACATGGGACCGGGGATATCTTGACTAGAGGTTTGGGGCAGCTGCGGTCACCCACGTGGCCTGACCCCCTCAGGGGGGGGTCGGGCCCGATGGTGATGAGGCCGCCCCTCCCTCTATCTCCCCGAGGGGTCGGGCCGCTCCCGTTTCGACCCCCCGAGGGCTGGGGCGCCCCGACCCCCTGAGGGTTTGGCGCCACGTGTGTGGGTTAGGTGAGCACAGCGGCGCTCACCTAACCGCGTTTATTGCGGGTTGGACGAGCGCCTCATGCCGCATTTAATGCAGCATAGCGCATGCTTATCCGGTCCGTGATCGGTCGCAGTGTGTGACCGGTCACAGACCGGTCAGATCGCGGGTTAGGGGGCAACAGGCGGCCTGACACACGCCTCGCCCCGTCCCGTCGGAATGATGAGAGCCTCCAGGCACTCGTCCCTAGCCGGAGCCGGCGTGGGAACTCCTGGAGTTGGCACGTCAGCCCCGGCCAGATACATTCCAGGCTTCATCGCAACCATTGCAAGGAAGTCATTGTATGAAGAAGGGCAGACGTGTAGCATGCTAAACTGACACGTGGTGGACAAGAATGACCGGTCTGTGACTGGTCTGACGCCGGTCGCGTCATCAGCAAACAACCGTGCTTCCACGTTGCACCTGCTTCCGGCGGAGTGGAGGTTGGTATGACCCATCCCATCGGAGGGTCATTCGGACAGCAGCCATTGCAAATCTCCGCCCATTAATGAGGAAGGACAGGGTTATCCCGGTGTCAGACGATGGTACAAGCCAAGTTTTGGTCAAAGTAGGATGGGTCCCCACCCAAAAGAAGGGTAGGTAGAAATGGTGTATGTGGTATCCCCTTGAGATATAAAAGGAGGACCATGCCTACCAAGAGAGAGGAGGGAGAAAAAGAGGAGAGAGGACCGGAGCTGGTAGACGGAGAAAAGAGGAGGGAGAGGGGCTCTAGAGTTTGAACTCTCTTGCTCTCCAGCTCTTTGTAACTCCTTCATACACAGATCCACCAGAACACAGGAGTAGGGTATTACGCTTCTCAGCGGCCCGAACATGTCTACATCGCTCGTGTCTTGCGCATTTGCTCTCTCGCGAACCATTCCACAGATCAAGGGCTTAGAACCTCACTTAGCGCCCCCGGCCGAACCGGCAAAGGGGGGCCCGCGCGGTCTCCCGGTGAGGAGCCCCACGCTCCGTCAAAATCGAACTTAAAACATCAAATATTCTCCGCCTCGGTGTGGTGTCTCTCCTCTGGCAGCGATAGAGGAAGGGGGAGAGAAATAATAAGGGAAATAAAAGGGAAACCGTAGAAAACAAAGAACGTGGCTTCTACATGTAAGTTAGATTTCGCGGGTAAATGGGCAAAGCGGGCATGGGCAGTGATTACCCATACCCATGCCCATTTACCCATCGGGTATATCTTTTGATCCAATAAGAAACCCATGGGTATAAAATGGAGAACAAACCCAACTCTAATAGGGTTTTTACCCACGGGTAAACGGGCAAACGGACACAATTGTCATCCCTAGTCATAATAGCAAATACATCGGATCTGGATTGACTCACAACCACCACTAATTTTATTTTAGCTCTCTCCTTAGGGTGTGTTCAGGTCCTTTAGGAGGAGGGGTTAGGACCCTTTCTTTTCGACACGCGAAACGAAGCACGCATTAGTACATGATTAATTAAGTATTAAATATATTTTTTAAAAAAATATTAATATGATTCTTTTAAAATCATTTTTTTCTATGGAGATTTGTTTTTAAAGTTACATTCCGTTTAGCTGTTTTGAAATCGCCCATGTTGAACACGAGGGATGTGAAGCTGGGAACCTCAAACAAACGATCGAATTAAGCCCTCGTTTGTTAAGGTTAACCTCTTCATGAAAAAAATCCACTGTGTTTATATTTTATAACAACGAATTGAATGACGAGTAATCGAACGTGGCATTCCCTTTAATTGAACTTACATTTTGATGATGAATATCAGTGCTATCATCTGCAATTTGTTCGGGAAAATAACAGTTTTTTTTGCAGTGATAATTTAGGATTATTTAAGATTTGCACAGTGGCTCCTTTCTAGGAGCATGAACCATCGCCATTGACACGGACACCTTACCTGTCACAAAGAAAAATGGGGAAATAACTGCTCCCTTGTCCAAAAAAAACATAATTTAGAATAAAATAAGACATAACTAGTACTACATCCGTCCTAAAATAAGTGCAGTCGTGGGAATCTATGTCCAATGTTTAACCGCCTGTCTTATTTGAAAAATTTAAAAAAAGTTAGTCGCACATAAAGTACTATTCATGTTTTATCATCTAATAACAACAAAAATATTAATCATAAATTTTTTTTAAATAAGACGAACGGTCAAACGTTAGACATAAATAGTGTAAAACTGCATTTATTTTGGGACGGAGGGAGTATAACGAATCTAAACTGGAGCAGATTTATTATACTAAATTATGTCATATTTTATTTTAGGTTAGGTTTTTCAGTGACGGCAGAGTGCCAAGAGAAGAAAATACTAGCAGAGGCAGAGACGATCAGACGAATGGCTGGCCTCTCTACCCACACCCATGCCAAGGCATGAGGATGATGTTGTCCTTGTCCACAGTGCACAGACACTGGTGCACCGTGATGCACAGTCGCACACAGGCACACAGCCTTCTTCACGAAGCCATATCCCTCATTCCCCTCTATATATAAGCCAGCAAGCTGCGCCATGTCATATCCCCCGCTAAACTCTCCGCCCGCGCAGCCTTGCACTCGCGTCGCACATATCGACCCATCCATCCGGCACGCATGCAGGCGCAGCAGGCCATGGACGAGCCCGCCAACGCGCAGCTGTACGGCCACGCTCACGCGCACTCGCACCACCACCGGAGCAAGCGCCCGTCGCCCGGTGGCGGCGGCGGCGGCGCGGCGACTCTGGGCGCGGACGGTGGCGGTGGCGGCGGCTCTCTCAGCGGGACGCGGTACCGCGGCGTGCGGCGCAGGCCGTGGGGACGGTTCGCAGCGGAGATCCGGGACCCGGCGTCCAAGGAGCGGCGCTGGCTCGGCACGTTCGACACCGCCGAGCAGGCCGCCTGCGCCTACGACGTCGCCGCGCGCGCCATGCGCGGCACCAGGGCGCGCACCAACTTCCCCGTCCCCGCCGCCGCCGGCTTCCCGGGGGGAGGCGGCGGCGGGTGCTGGCCGTGGGTTAACATCCCGCCGCAGGGCGCGGCGGCGGCGGCGTCGCACCAGCAGCCGCTCAACACGCTCCTCCTCCACAACCTCCTCATGAGCTCCTCCCCCCACGGCTGCCTCCTCCTGCACCACGCCGGCCACGGCCACGGCCACGCCCATTCCCATTCCCACTCCCACAGCCGCGCACACAACCCCAGTACTCGCCCACCCACCTCCGCGCCGCCGCCGCCTCCACCTGCCGCCGCCTCATCCGCCACGACCGCGCCGGCCACCACGACAGGCGCCGCAGCGACGTCCGCGCCGGGAGCGGACGACGACGCGTGGGGCTTCCTCCTGCGACGTGAGCCGCCGGAGGCGGGGCTCCTGCAAGACGTCCTGCACGGGTTCTACCCGACCAGGCGGCCGCACGACGACGCGGGGCCGGCGCCGAAGCTGGAGCGGCCGTACGAGGCGACGTCGTCGTACCGCGTGTCCTCCCCCTGGGGCGCCGTCGAGGACTGCGACGACGGCGACGGCGACGGCGACGACGACTACCGCGGGTTCCCGATGATGCCGCAGGGGCTCCTCGAGGACGTGATCCAGTGCCCGCCCTACATGGAGGTCTTGGCGGCGCCGTCGGCCGCCGTCGGCCGCGTCAGCCGCAGGGGCTGAGCCGAACCGGCGACGTCGAGATCTCCGCCGCGCGCAGCCGCTCATGGCGCGCGTGCATGCATGCGTCAATGCGGGCGCATTTTGCTTCGCTATCCTTTGTTACTATCTGCATCTTCTCTAATCTTGCTGAGATTACGGTGGTGTTCTGTGTACTAGTTTAACTTGGGATGATTGATATCTTGGCTAGTACTAATTCCATGCATGGCCTTCTTGAAACTTGATCTTGTTGAAAAAATGAATCTTGATCTTATTGAACAATTAATTCAATCTTAATGAAAAAAAATCTCGCTCATTAGCATGCATGCATCAACAGCTAGTTTGCTCATGCACAGGGAGATTTTTCACAACCAGTTTGTTGTTTGCATAGTGCCATAGTTCGATTAAAACCTTTTCAACTTTCAGCTCTTTTTTGCTAAAAAAAATTCAGCTCTGATATGATCGAAAGCTCTTTAATGCCCTGCACGTAAAAGCAGGGATGGGTTATACTAATTGATGGCCCTTATTACATGCACAATCTCATGGTTATTTCATCAGTGTGGGTTTTCAACCACGTTTCAACAAATTACTAGTACTACGAAATTATTATATTGCCGTTTTCAATTAATAGCAACGAGCAAATGCCATCGTAGATCAATTCTTTGAAAAACCGTCGTATAGATTGACTAGCAATCATAAAAATGTTGTGAAACATGGGGCATTGTTATAGTCAAATCTATATCAGCACTTTTACTTTGAAGCGCATTATACAGTCCTACTATGCCACATCCATCCATCAGTGAGCTCGGCTTCTTACCAAACGACAAGCAGCAGTTGTAACTTTATATGCACGAGTTAAATGTAAGTTGTACTCCCTTGGTTGGACGAGTTATATCTCGGTTGGAGTACCAACTAAACTGAGGACACCCACAATGGTTATTTATAGGCTCTCTATAAGAGATCCATGCCCGCATATTTTCTTACTTGGAAGAGATTAAATGAAGAGAGAGAGAGAGCAAAGCTATCTACTAACCTGGAGATAGTCTATAGAGAAAAACGAGGCAATGTATTAGAGAGCTATAGATACCCATGTAGATATACTACTATTGAGGTGGTTTACTATTAATCTAGTCTATTGCTGAGATGTACATGTTTTATAGATAGCACCTTACTTTACCATTGTGGGTTCTCTGAGGGTGTGTTTAGTTCACGCCAAACGGAAAAGTTGAAAGTTTTTGTGTGTAGAAAAGTTTGGTGGGAACTAAACTTGGCCTGAACACAAAAAACGATTCAAAGGTAAATAGTGACATAACGAATAAAAAGAGATTTTTGTAAAACCATCTATTATTCCAGTATGGAACTAAGGCCTTGTTTAGTTACTAATTTTTTTTCTTAAAAACATGACATAGAATCTTTGAATACATGTATGGGGCATTAAATATAGATAAAAAGAAAAAAAATTAATTGTACATTTTGCATTAAAAAGTGAGACGAATCGTTTGAGCTTAATTAGTCCATGATTAGTTATAAGTGCTACAGTAACCCACATGTGCTAATGATGGATTAATTAGGCTTAATAAATTTATCTCGCGGTTTTCAGACAAGTTATGTAATTAGTTTTTTTCATTCGTGTCCGAAAACCCCTTCCGATATCCGGTCAAACGTCCGATGTGACAACAAAAATTTCTTTTCGTGAACTAAATGGGGCCTAATATTTCAGTCACAACTTAATGCTTTAGATTATCTTCGTGACGCGACAAGGTTGCAATTGCAAGTACTAGCCACTAATAGTGACATTTCAATCAGTTGTAACTTTATATGCACGAGTTAAATGTAAGTTGTACTCCCTTGGTTGGACGAGTTATATCTCGGTTGGAGTACCAGCTAAACTGAGGGTGTGTTTAGTTCACGTCAAACGGAAAAGCTGAAAGTTTATATGTGTAGAAAAGTTTAGATGTGATGGAAAAGTTGAAAGTTTAAAAAAAAAACTTAGGAACTAAACTTGGCCTGAACACAAAAACCGATTCAAAGGTAAATAGTGACATAACGAATAAAAAGAGAATTTTGTAAAACCATCTATTATTCGAGTATGAAACTAAGGCCTTATTTAGTTCCTAAATTTTTTTTTCTTAAAAACATGACATAGTAATCCCATGGCATTTCTTGACTCTCTACGCAAACGTGCGTAGTCATTGTGTTTCTTATGCCATGTCTTCTTTCATCTTATCGTGCAAGCCTAGTATGGTGGTGTTTAAATCTCCTGGAGATGAAAATGAGGATAAAGATTTAAGTGTTTCACATAAAATGATGTGATAATAATGTGTAACTATTTGGGTTTTAATTATTACAAACTTAAAAAATATATTAATCTGATATTTTAGAACAACTTTTATATAAAAAGTTTTCACACGAAACACACCGCTTAGCAGTTTGAAAAGTGTGTCACGAGTATCTAAATTTTCATCCACCTATTACAGAAGAAACTAACGGGACAAACCATACTCGCTCTTTCAGTCCGCTCCTTACATGGCTTTGACTCTAGCAAGTGACCATGTTATGTTGCCTTTTTCCACATTTTCATCAAGTTGCAAAGCCAGTGCCGCCGTCAAGGCCGGTGAGGCGGTGACTAATAGCGTTTGTTAGTTACTGACTATTTTTTCATACGTCGACAACAATCAACAGAGCAATAGTGGATACAAAGCTAGAGATGGAGCTCGAGCAGTTGCCTGATCCACCTGAGAGGTGAACCCGCCATCGTTTCTGCCTATGTGGTGGCTCACTATAGAATTGGATGCAATCCCATACTTTGCAGCGGGATATCTAGTTAAGAATGGTTGCTAAACATATGGCAAACTAAATGTGGTAGAAATTTTAGAGATTAAAAGGTGGGTTGAAAAGAAAATGAGGTGGGAGTCTATTTGGGCCTATCTTCTAGTTTAGGCCTCACTAGTTGTTCCTGTAGACCTAATAATCTAACAGTTGATGTTTGAGGGACACATTGATCAAGCGACTAAAATATGTTGATGCTGTGGTTCAACATGGACAAACCAACAATATGAATAATTTCTATGCTTAAGTTCGATGATCGGCCTGCTAATAGTTGTAGCCAAAATCGGCTTGAGCTGGCCCAGTTGGGCTAGACTAGTAGTTCGGCCATGTTTAGGTCTAAAGTTTTTTTTTAAAATTTTTAATTTTCCATCACATCAAATCTTTCATACACATATGATTTTTCAGTCACATCGTTCCAATTTCAACCAAATTTTCAAACTTCAGCGTGAACTAAACTTCGTTGAGCAATTGAGCTCGATGGAATGGAATCGAAGAACACGCACGCACGCGATTCTCGCAGTACGGCCGCGGGGCCCCGGCCCGGCGTCTGGTTCATTCTCTGCGCGTGCGCGCAAGGATAGAGAGGCGATATGTGTGATCGAGCTGAGCAGAGTCGTCGCAGTCTGCATGCGGCCGGTGATAAATTTCTTGTTCCCTTGGTGCATGCGTGCTGCATCTTGCATGCTGCGGGCGCGGATTCCGGAGTTGGTGCTTCGCTAGCTAGCCAAATCTCCCGTCACCCCTGGCCCAAATCAAGCGGTTCAATTGTCAATTGCCCTGTCGACCAATCCGTCGCCAGGAAGACGTGAGCACCGGTGGTTAACAGTGCAAAGCCGGCGCCAAACGATAGGTGCAGACGTGCAGCGGAGTACTCCTATCTCGGATGTCGTTGTTGTCGCGGCGGTGAGCCGGCGGCAACGCAGGATGTGAGGGTAATTAAGACCGAACGGTTCTGTTGCTGGGAGAGGGGAGAGAGAGAGAGAGAGAGAGGGATAGTATAGCACGTCTGGATTCGCGCGAGAGTTCATAACGCTGTGCAGGGGCGCCTGGAACACTGCATGTGTGGCGCTTTCCATCGACGATCTTCGATGGCGTATTGTGCGGGTATGATGGGTATGATGGGTTGCTGTGGGTTCAAGTGAAAAAACCTTGCTTGGCCTTATAGCAAGCTGTGCGCACCGGCGCCGGAGAGGTGTATGATCGACGAGCTCACCGAAGAATGGCACGTACATAAACAAGTTCAAACCCCCCTTGTAAGCTTGTTGTACACTTGTTTGTACTACTATTCCACTCCAGATACGTATAGTACGTATTATTGTAGATTCCAGTACACGTATTAGTACGTATTATTGTACGCGCAGCGTCTCCCGAGTACTAATACCCAGCTAAGAGCAAGTTTAATAGTATAGCTGACTACTGGCTCCAAATGAACTATAGTCTATTTTATAGCCAATTCAGGGCCTCATTGTTTGCCGTATGGCTTATAAGCCAAAGCCAAAATTTGAATTTTAAAACTTGATTTTTAATTTGATTTTGATGCTTTTTCAGCACATATTTTCTTAGCTTTGGCTTTTCAATCACTACGAACATATATACAAAAGTTTTACTGGCATATCATTTTATAATCGCTTATAATAAGTCATTGTCAACCGATGGGGACCTCATACAATAGTTATCTATATACATATACTACACAATTCGTATCTGGTCCCACATGTCATACACACATGTATCTTAGAGTCCGTGCTGTAGCTGGCTATAAATCTGTAGCCCGCTGCTCTTCTCTTTTATCTTTTATATTCTCAAAATATATTTATAGTTGGCTACCTGCTCTAACGGGTTGACCGCCACTTTTGTTGCACCACGCGCTATCCTACAGGACTTGCATTGCAAAAGTCATATCCCGATTCGTGAAGATCTTCTAGTACTACTACTACTCCAGTGGTACGGTGTAGTAACAGAAAAAAGTTCCCATCGGCCATCGCTGCTACAGCCTACAGCCTCCTCCAGCTACAGACCTACAGTACAGTAGGAGTACTACGGTACAGCAGCGGCTCCTCTCTCCCCCGTGCCACGCGCATGCACGCATGACTGCGCCCACACACACACACACACACACAGGTCCTCACCCATCTTGTCATCCCCGGCCCGCCGGCTGGCCACACTGTGCGCGCCACTGTACTGTCCGCGGGAAGAGCATGCGTGCAGCCGTACTGGTTGGTTCCCAGCTGCTGCATGCATGCCGTCGTGACGCGAAAAAGGGCTCCTTGTCGCGGGCCGGGCTCCGCGGGCGCGCGCACGCACGCACGCACGTCCTCCTCTGCCCCCGCGGCCGACGACGGCACGGCAGGCTGCACAGCGAATCCAGGCGGTGGCGCGGCAGCAGGCGCTGGCTACTAGTACCACCCGGCACCCGGCCCTGCCCGCCGCGCGCATCCCGACGTTCGTGTACCGTACGTGCGCATTCCGCTAGCTGCGCTTCCGGTCGTCGTGCCGCCCCCCGCGATTGCTCGATAGGAAAACCTGTGAATCCGGCCACAACGGAGGTCGGGGGGTGATCTCTGTTGTGATCATGTCAGCTGGGTTGCTGATGGTCCAGTTCTTCACACACACATACACAAATAAATAATATTATATACGTACAGAATATAATTTTTTTTAGTTGTTAAGAAAGTTGATAGAATTATATGAGAGAAGATTATAATTAGATGAGAAATGAAGGTAGGTAGAAAAAATGAATTGTGTAGGGTTGTGATTGATTATGAAGAGAATGTTGGTAAAAAAGTTGTTATATTTTTTAATAAATCTTGAAGGTTAAAAGCTGTTATATTTTGGGACAGAGATGGTACTACTGAATTTGAAGTTCTTTGTCTCTGTCCCGTGTAACCCAGCCGTGGCTGAATATATGCATGCATTGTGTTCTGAAAATCATACGTGCCAAGGAACACAGACGCTGCCGGGCTCACAGGATCTCACTGCACCATAGCAGCAAGAATTTGATATCTCAAATCATGGCAGAGTTTGTTTGGCGCTGGCAGTGCAAAGAAAACAAATGCGCTGTGCCAAAGTCAGAGTCCATAAATTCCCAAGATATGCATGCATGGACCGTGTAGTTTTTTTCCTTTTCGCATTTTGACCGTGTAGCTCATGCTTGGGTTGCTCTAGCAATTTTGTGCAGGGTGGTGTCCGAACAGGGAAGAGAACAGAGTAGGACAAATAAACTAATCAGGCCCGGCCAGGCCATGGAATAGAAGCTGGTCAGAATAGCTCGTTGGGCAGGGCAGGATGCAGCAGAATGATTGCAGCTGGAGTATCCAGAAGATGTCCCCCTCTGCTCTCAAAAAGGCTCCTTTCTTGTGTGTGCCTTCATCAATGTCCATGCTTATGGCTCCAGTGCACTTCATTGGCCAAGATTTCTTCGCTATAGCTGCTCTCAGTAGGGGTGGGCAGAATAAGACCGAACCAAAAAACTGAACCAAAAAGACCGAGATCGAGACCGAAAAGACCGAGACCGAGAAATTCGGTTAGTGATTCGGTGCCAGCCATCTAAAGACCGATTTTTTTCGGTTAATTCGGTCATATGCTTCAGTTAACCGAATTACCCGAGAAAATCGAAATTTGGCCCAACAGGTGTAGTAGGCCCAATAAGCCCACTAAATAGAACAAACCCTAGAGGGACTCAGGGTGGAGCAGCCGAGACTAGAGCTGCTCACTGCCTCCGTGCCTCGTATCCATCGCGCCGCCCCCAGCCCCCCCACGCCTCTGCCTTCACCTGCATCGCGCCACCTCCGCCGTCCGCCTCCAGCGCCGGCGCCACCTCCGCCTCGGCGCCGCCTCCGCATCCACTCTCCAGTCAGCCCACCTCCACCTTGGCACCTCCATCCCGCCGGCAAGCAAATCCACCAAGTCGTCGGCTTCTAAACCTAAACCTACATGATCTTCACCAAGTTGAACACTTTTAACTATTTCCCATCTTCTCTGTCAATATTTCTGAATTGTAATCAAGTTTTGTTTTGGTTGCTTGTTTTAAAATGTGTTTCAGGTTGCTGAAAAGTGGAGGAAGAAGACTAAGATGGGTACATGTCAAGCCTAAAACTTATTTACTAGTTGGCTGTTGCTACTGCTTGATCTGTGATGTAATGTTATCAACCTATAACTTGTACTGTGGCAGTCGTGACTCGTAACTTGTGAGGTTCAGACTTGAGACCTATCCTGTGATAATTTGGTGCTTGATGTTGCCTATTTTTTGGTATTTTTGTGATATATATGTCTGTGAAAAAAAGTCTAAAAAGAGGGAAAATGTTGTCAAAATTTTTCATTCCCCTCAAATTTCGGTCTGACCGAGATCGAAAAGACCGAGACCGAATTTGCCGGTCATAAGTTTTTTTTATGAAATTCGGTCCGGACTTTCCAAAGACGGAATTACCCAAATAACCGAAGACCGAGACCGAATTTTTCAGTCTGACCGAATGCCCACCCCTAGCTCCCAGCGCACACACACATACACAGAGTGTGTGTGCCGTGCGTGTGTGTTGTGGGCATGGCAATGGCATGGGTGTGACTGGGTTGGAGTTTACGAGCAAACACAAGACATTCAATTGCCTGCAGCTGCAGCAGTGTTCTAGGGTTTGGAAACCAAGGACCCTTGTCACATGGTCCTGTCCCTCCTATACTGTCCCTATACCACTCCTCTGCCTACGGGTCTCACTCCTGACCCTGCTGGTTGTACCACCATTGCCATACTGCTTGCAGACGTGTACTCGATCCGTCAGGACAAACATACTCCTACATACAGTAGTTACAGTAGCCGTATGTGTGTGTGCGTACAATACCACCAGTAGTAGTACATCAGTTATAACTAGAAAATCAGCGCGCCAGTTGGCGCGCATGATTTATAGCCCGTATATATTATTTTTGTGTTATTAATTAGCACATTGTTCATAAAAAATATAGAAATCAATTTAATTTCTTTGAAACTCATGCAAAAATCATAGTTGAATGGAATTTTCTGAGTTCCAGTTTAACATAACAGATCATATTGTTGAGAAAATCATCAAATTTTCTCTTTTTTTCCACCCATGCTATTGTTTCTTCCTTTGTTTTTCTAAAATTATAATTAAGTTATTAACTAATTATAAAATTGGTGTTGGTATTTTTTAAAAAAAACAAAGTGTTTCACCCCTCACATTATTTCTACAATATTTTAACAAATATACATATCATCACATTATTTCTACAATATTTTAACAAATATACATATCATTTTTATAATATTTAACATATACTTATCAATATGCTCCACATTAAAAACGGGTATCATTTGTTTATTTTATGATAAGTACCGATAAAACTTCACGTTTCATTATTTTCTATTCTTTTTACTCTTAGTTTACTTGTTGAACAAAATATATTAAAAATTGTTTAGTGATCCCGTAGCAAAGCATGGAGAATCACCTAGCAATAGAAAGTGGAAGGGCCTTGAATCTTCGATGATTCGTCCCCTTCACCGCTCATCGCCATCGCGGCCCCGGGTCGTTGGATCCTGGCATTGGAACTTTATTTGCTGCGTTGGTGCTGGGAGAAAGGCGATGGCCATTAGGGAAGACGACACTTGCGAGAACAAGGATTGTCGCGTCGGTGCTGGGAGAAAGGCGATGGCCATTGGGGAAGACGACACTTGCGAGAACAAGGATTGCCGTGTCAATGCTGGGAGAAAGGCGACAACCGTTGGGGAAAATGGCGCTTGCGAGAACAAGGATTGTCGCGTTGGTGCTGGGAGAAAGGCATCAGCCGTTGAGGAAGACAACGCTTGCGAGAACAAGGAGAAAAGGAGGAAGATGATGGTAGCGAAGGCAACATCGCCCTCGTCCCTTGATTGTCCAAAGCTGGGTATCCTCATTGAGCCCTTCTTCATCCCTCTCTCTTCTTCCTCCTGGATTTGGTCGAGCTTGGGGTCGTGGTTATTGCTACCGTGGATGGTGAGGACGTGCTCGACCTCGATGCTCGTTGGCTGGTTGGCGCATCCACACTCGCGGACTATCACAGCTGGTATGGCTCGACGCCCTCCACTTGCTCCATTGAGTGAGTGGATCTTGCTCGTTGGCAACAGCTTCCGTGGATCCGGAAAATATTGCGGTAAATGTCTTCCTCGTTGCCGATTTACGACAGCTAACATCGGCTCGCTGTTTATATTTTTTTGGGAATTGCTAAAAAGTTGTCACAAGTTTTTTTGGCAAAAAAAAACTTTTAAATGTTACTGTAGTATAGTTGTAGTATAACTACAATGTAACTACACTATAGTTACATTGTACATAATAGTGTAACTGTACTGTAGTAATCTCTATATAAGTGATATAAAGTTGCATATAGTATTTTAATACTTATATACAAGTTACAATATTGTTACGGTATAGTTATAGTGGAATTATATTATAGTTAGATTTAAAAGTTGTTCCTTTAAAAAACTTGTGGCAGTTTTTTGGATACTATTTTTTTCTTATCCATTGTTTCCTCAGCATGCAATCTTTTTCACCAGTTCTTTTCGTGTTATCGTGTGATTTTTTTCAACCGAGTTTAGAATGCTCTGGATTTTTTCCTTTGTTTTATCTAGACTCTTCACACACGTTCAAAATGAACGTGCTCTTCTGGACACGTGGCACATTTTGATGATATGTGAACTTGGTTTTTGGTTTGGCCACGTGGCCCAATGATTTGGTAGAGTTTGCACCCTGCAACCAGTATTTTAGATTTGTGTGCACGCATGTTATAGTAATAATAGTATATATAGCTCTATCCTATTATATAATTAAAATTAGCATAAATGGAAAAAAACAGTTTGCTCGTCCACTTGTATCCCTAACCACGTAGTGTTTGAGAGCCCGGCAGGGTTTCCCAAACCACCGGGGTCAGGTTACCGCGCTCTAGCGGTAAGCACGGTTATCGTGTGGTAACCGTGGCAAACCGTATGAAACCGTATAAAATTTATCAAAATTTCGAAGTATATTTTAAATTTATTTGAATTTAAAGAGGTTATCGTAGTTTTTCTTTTACAGTACACTCGCGGAGTCGCGGTAAGCGCGGTAACTCTAGAGCCCGGCGGCGGTACTGTTTTGCTAGCGTAAGTAAAGGGACAACGAGAAACAACTCCGACGCGCCCATTGTATATTTACGTATATCACATGCGGTACAAGTAGCTGCACGTATTTGGGGGGTACGTATGGCAGTACTGTTCTCCAGCACATTTGTCGTATGCCAGTTGACATGTCTCTCAGAGACAAATTAAGGAGGGTCGTAGCTAGCCAGACACAGCCACAGGCGCGGTGTATTGCATGGTGCAGCTTTTCTTTTTGTGGAAAAATAGGGGGGTCGTAGTGCATCATGCCATATTGCCATGCATCGGATGAATTGAAGATGATGGGGACGAAAATGCGTGTTACATGATGCGGCCCTTGTCGTCTCCTGCGATCTTCATAGCTAGAGAATCATAACTCCAAGTCTCCAACGAGTTGTAGCTGCTAACGATCGAGTGGTACGAACGAAAAAAAACGATCCGCCAAAAAAAAAAAACCCAACGTTGCGTAATGTGATTAAACAAAAAAGGAATTTCAGAAAACATTGGGCCTGTTCGGTAGGCCAACTGCTGCGGCTGCGCACAGTGAGTGCGACACTGTTCATGCCGACTGCGCCGCAGCCGCAGCCAGGGCAGCCGGACAGGCCCATTATTTGACCGAAATTAGATCGTATAAAAAAAATTCTAGGAGAGAGGTTACAGGAAATGAAAAACTGACAGAAATTGCTGGGGGATCCAACTGCTGATCACCTAAGATAGGAAATGGAAAACAGTAGTAGTATTGTATTGTGGACGGACAACGACTACTGAAAGTCTATAACTATGAGGCCAGCAGTAAACTAACTCTATGAACAGTAAAATCATACCGTGTGAGGGGAACAGTATTTGGGAGAACTTAATTTGGGCCGTTACATGTGTAATCGGATGGTAAAGGAAGAGCCTAACGCAACTCTTGTGAAAACGGCACAGTTGAAGCCGAATGTTATAGAGAGAGCACATGGCCTCGTAGAACTAACGGCCCAGGATCCGGTCCATGTGGGCCATTTACAGATTGTTGGGCCTTTTGAGCATTAATAGATGGGCTTTGAGTTGTACCAGATTGGGCTAAAAACATGGGGAAAAAGTCCACTTTGACTCCCTTAAATATACACCGAATCTAATTCGTACCCATCAACCAGAAAACCGGTTAGGACGACTCCCCCAATTACTAAAACCGGTACAAATTGACTCCCTAAGTGGTTTTAGAGGGTGGTTTTGCTGACGTGGCATGCTGACTTGGTCTGTTGTGCTGACGTGTCAGCCCAGTCACCAAAATACACATGAGGCCCACATGTAAGTGATAGGAGAAAATATAAAAAGCGTAGGGCCTACTTGTCAGCCATCTTCTCCCTCTCTATTTTTTCCCCCAAATCCCCCAAAAAGAAACAGTAGAGCAAGCGGTCGAGGAAGCCGAGTGCGTAGTTGTTGTGCGGGCACTGCACTACACGTTGTCGTAGGTGTAGACGAGGGTGTGGTTGTTGCTGCTCAGCATCAGCTCTGGCTCGCTCCTCTCTTGGTACTGTGCCGCCGCGTCGCCGGACCCGGACGGCCCCGCTAGCGGCCTCGCGCCTGGCGGCGATAGGTCCGGCAAGCACTTCGCCGACCGCTTGCTCCCGAACCGCCCCGGCGCTGCCGCTGCTGCCGGCTTGAGCGTGCCCCCGCCGCGGATGAGCCGGTGGATTCCGAGGTCCGCCAATAGCGGCTCCATGTCGGCGTCGAGCAGGATATTGCTCGGCCGGACGTTGCCGCACGAACTTCTTGTCGTGGAGGAAGGCCAGCCCTCTCGCCATGCCGCGGGCGATGCGTCGTCGCTGCCGATCCTGCGCACCGCCAGCACGGCGCCGTCGTCCAATACCGCCATGTACATGATGCTGCTGCCCGCCGCGCCTAGGATGTACGCCGACGCCTTCAGTAGCGTCTCCATCTCCAGCTCCACGTCGCCGTCCACCGTCACCAGCACCGCGCCGCCGCCGCCACCGTCCTTGGCCTTCTTGCCGCCACGTCGTCCGTCTTGGCGGCGACGACGCCCTCCTTGGCGGCGAAGGACGCCGACGTGTCAGTCACCTCCTCCGTGTCGTCGCTCTCGTCTCTGGCACTGAACTGGCGCCGCGCACGGCAAGAATTATACCATTTCTCCCCTCGTCGAGTGTACAAGAACTCCTCGGCGTGTCGAGGGACAACTCCGGCGCCCTCCCGATGACCTTGACCTTGGCCGGCGCCGGTAGCCGCATCCAGCACCCGAACTTCCCACCGCTGCCGCCGCCGCCACTACCGGCGGCGGCGGAGTGTTAACAACATCGCATCAAC